GTCATCGTTCATCACGCACGAACCCTACGGATGAACCTCCACCACTGTCTCTTTCGAGATTTCACGGTACTTGTCGAGACCAACTGCACCCCTTACATACTGACAAGCAAATGGCTTTTTTCTGTTTATACTGAGACTACGCATATACCTTTAAATTGCAGGCTGTACTCCCATGCTGTAAGCGGATATTAGCTTCAGATACGAATGGGCATATCACCTTTTTAAAAAAAAAACTTTAAATTGGAGTATCAGTTAGCCTTGCAGCTCTGCGCAGTTTACCTTCTTGCCGTTGATAAGGTACGCAGATGTAGAAATAGCGCAGCAATTGACTGCGTCCCTGACGCCACAGTATTTTTATTCTTCATGATATGTGAATGGATTTTATATGAGATTTTCATTCATATAGTGAGGAAAGGGGATTTCGAATTTATGTCATTGTCAATCCCGCTTTTTTGTTGGCGAGATGCATGTGTGATGTAGATATCAGGTAGGTATGCTTCGCTTGTTGTGTCTTTTAGCAGTAAACATGTCCTTTGCTTATTTATTAAAATGGTACATTTTTAGTGTGTGGGACATTTCTGTCGGAAACCTGTGGTTCGATGACTACCTTCTCGTTAGCCCTTCCGATTCTGTCGATCTCTGACTCGAAGTTGTTGGTGGACGAAGGTTCGTCACCGATTCTCGCAAAGGCTCAAGACATCGAGTCGATCTCCAGCTGTGCAACGCCGTCGCCGTCGACAGACGATCATGCATCGCTTAGCACCGCGAAGACCGTTGTTCGCGGCCAGCGATCACCAACTTTTTCTGCGGCTCGTTTTTCGATGACGAAGGTCGTCGAATGGTCGAAGATCATCAAGCTGCACTTCCCAATCGTGACGAAGAAGATGGCAACGCGGCACGGCATCTCTGAGTACAAAAACCCGATCTACGAAGCAGAGAGTCCAGATGAACTGGCGATCGTGTATGCGGCCGCTGCCTATGGCTTTCGCCTGATGAAGCGGGGACCACGTGAGGTGTTTGTCGAACTGCCCAACAGGCGAGTGCTGCGCTACGAAATCGCGCACGTGCTACCTTTCGACTCTGTGCGCAAGCGGATGTCGGTGATCCTGCGCAACCCGTTCACAAACGAATATGTTCTCTACTGTAAGGGCGCAGACTCGGCGATCATGGAGCTTCTGGCGCCGTCCACGACCACCGCCGACTCTGACAGCTCCGATGATGTTCACGTTCACAACACTGAGCAATGTCTGAATTTGTACGCCAGCTATGGCTTGAGGACGCTCTGCATTGCCAAGAGGGTAAGAGTGATTTGAGTCGACACCTCAACGTGATTCATGCTAATTTCTTGATTTTCATTTAAGTCATCGTTTGTAGGACTTGCCTGCCGACGTTTACAACGCGTGGCTCGATAAACATCAGGAGGCAGAGATGTCCCTCGATAATCATGACCAGTTGCTACACGAGTCATCGGTGAGCATCGAACAACACTTGCAGCTACTTGGAGTGACCGGTGTCGAAGACCGCTTACAGCAAGGAGTTCCCGAATGTATCTCTTCCCTGCGACAAGCTGCTATCAAAGTCTGGGTATTGACTGGCGATAAGATCGAGACGGCCGTCAATGTGTCATACGGCTGCAAATTGTTCTCGTCTGATATGGACCTCATTCAAATCAGCGTCGGAAACTATGTACGTGTTTTCTTCTCCATTGTTTCCCTTCATAATCATAATCTTTTTTCTGTGCACATGACATTTGGAAGAAAGTCACTATTCCAGGTTTAGCTTGATATCTGAATGCAGCTCTAGAGAACCTATACACTTTCATGGTATATTCAGTGGTCGGTGAGGAGATTTCTTGTTTCGGCCATTTGCTCTGAACTCACAGTTGGGAGAGTTTAGCGTCTTCTCTTGGCCTTCATCATAACCGCTATTTCCATTATAATCATGACTATAATAGTCATTTTACGAGGAAGATTTTCTTCCAAAGCTTTCAACGTTTTGTCATAGAAGAGCTTCCCACGCTATGTGTATTTCACTGTTGCCACCGCTGCATTTCTGGAGCGAAATCAAAAATCATTGTTTACGTTTTCGTCACTGCTACCATTATTATTAGCATAGCCGTTTTCTTGGTCTTCCTGATCATTATTATCACTGCTACTACCTTCATCCTTCCCCTCATCAGTAAAATATTCTTTTCTTTCATATATGACTTCTAGAATAAGTCACCCATCACAAGTTAATTAATTTCCCGATGGCAGCTTCTGGAATTTAAGCATTTCTTTTGTGCCACGTTGAGTTGTAAATCTGACATGCTCTGGTAAGATTACTCATTGTTAGATTCTGAGTGCCACACTCATACCAAGGTGAGTCTGAGAATTCCGTTCGCAGTTATGCCTTTGACGTAATTATTATCATAGCCATAATATACATTGTAGGGCATCCTTTACAGCAGAATCGTTATAATCTTCCTCATTATCATGATCACGACTATCATATTCACCAGCGTCGTAATTACGACGGTAATCATTACCATTAAGGATCACCACTAAGGGTCATCACCGTTATAATCAATATTATTTTCATATTTATCATTTTATAATAATCACGACCATTATTACTACGGTAACCGTTATTTGCTATCGCAGCTTGATCGTTGTAATCGCATTTATCCTAGCTGTATAGGTTACAAGCTTCATCATCATAATTATTTTCATCGTCATGATCACCGTAACGGCCTTAATGTTCTAATCGTTATTATGCTCATAGTTGTCATTTCTGTCACCTACGTCAAAATTATGAATCCTATTATTGCCATCATCGTCATATTCATGATCAGTAGCATCATCGTAAGTGTTCGTTTGATCATTTTCGTTACCATAATTATCACAGGTTGCTGTAAACTCCATCATTATCATCCCAATGATCTTGTCTCTGATGTAGTCATTCCGCTGAAATTAGGTAATTATTAGAGAATTCTTTATCATAGAATTTATCGGCGTTTATTGATTAATTGGACTTAATCTCCGCATAAAAGAATAATGTAAAATTATTGTCATAATCGTTTTTATAATAGTCACTTTTCACCGGTATCGTCGTTATCAGCTTGATCTTCAGTATCGTAATCGTGATAATTAGAATAATATCTCCATCATAATCAATATCATTACTTCTATCATCACTGTAATCATCCTCATAGCTGCCATTCCATATGACCATTATCCTTGTCATGTGGTACACAACATAATTGTTTTTATCATAGGCAGTCATCACTGTCTTCGTTGTCATCGCTATCATCAATATCACCACTTTTCTTATTATTGCGTAATCAGTAACCTGATCATTGCCATTATCATCAGTATTCGTCCATTTAATTCGCCTTAACTTTCACCCGTTTGTACGAAACTGACAGTATACTGAAATTGTCGAATCTTTCTGCGTCTAATAGAAGTATTAGCCCACGGTTGTACCTAACAGCCGTGCCATTTCATTTGATATTTCTGAATATGGAGCTCTGTTTACTTTCTTTTTACTTTCGAACAGTAACGTTTTGTCTACCTCATTTAGCTACGTCTCGGTAATATCGTTTTTGGCAGTATCCTGCTGATGACCAATGTCCATTTAGTCAAAAGTTTGTTCACTACGTTCACTGTGCAATGATTGAGGTGCGCATGTTGTGCCTTTTTGTTCTGCCAACCACTGATTGCTGAAGCAACCATTGCTTTCCTTTCTTGTCATTTTCCGTCTCAGCTGTCAGTTCTTCCATTTTCATCATCTTCTACTTCTCGTTGTTTCCTTATCTTTCTTTATTTTAACTATCTACCCGTGTCTTTACTAAATTCAAACGCGTTTGCTGTAGAACGACGCAGGAGAATGTCTGCTGCAGAATTTGAAGCGTTTCGATGACAGTGCGGTCACCGACGTCGGGTTGGTCATTGACGGACGATCGCTCGCCTA